ATTTTTTCCAATTCTTATTAGTCAAGCATTAAAACATTTACTATTTTAAATTACTTTTTAACAAAATGAATGAAAAAAGTCTCAATATAAAATTTTATTAAAAATTTAAATATGAAAGCTAAGAAAAATAATGATTAACAAAGAGTAACAGAATTAGGTGAGCACGTATTAAAAAGTTAAAATACAATGTTGGGAACAAAGATTGACTAATTAAAAAAGGAAATATTAGAGATGAAATCTGTATAAAACAATCCAATATATCTAGGTGCTAGCTTGCAGAATAAAAAGACCAAGTGGAAATTCAACAGGAAGAGTTAATACATTATAAAAAATTATGCAATTAGCTTTCTCGTAGAATAAGAATAATTATGGCGTATAATGAAGAGTCAATACAAAAAAAGATTACATAGAATGATTTAGAAGAAGAAAACTATGAATGTTTATGTGGGAGCAATTAAATAGATCCAATAAAATACTTTTTGGTTAATGGAGATTAATAACAATAATTGTAGATAACTCAAGCTTAAGAATAAGTTTAGGAGATACAAGAAGAATATACTAAACTAAATCAGATATAACAAAAGTAAATAGAGAATAATATAATGTAGTGATTATATTAAGTAATTAATTGAAGAGCATGCAGAATAGAAATCTTAATTACTACATTAGATAGAGGAATTAAAATTGCAATAAAAACTAGTAGAAGAATAATTCTTTTAAACTACCTTATTTGCAGATTTAGTATAACAAAATAATTATTTGACTTCTACATTGTTTAATGTTGAGGATCAACTTGTATAAGTACAAAATAATAATATCTATTAAAAAGGCTTAATTAATAATAAAAGAATAATAAGAGAAGTTTGAGATATAAATTTAATAGTTGTAATAGGAGTGTGAATAGAAGATGAAAGATTTAATGTAATAATAGGAGAGTGTTAAGATTGAAATAAAATAGACAGATGATTAATTATAAAGTAAATTAATAGAAGAATTGAAATCTTAAGTGGAAAACTTATCTAAGGTGGTTGAAGAATTGAAAATAGAATTATAGTAATGTAGAGAAAGAAATAAAGAAATAAATAATTAATTAATGGATGCTATTAATTACAAATAATCATTATTTAATTAGAATAATGAGTTGAAGTAGAGTCTTAGTGTTTATAAAATAATGGTTAAAGAAGAAAAGATTGAGTAGATTACTCTTCGATATGAGAATCATAAATAACTGTTATTTGAAATAGAATAAGAATATGTGAACAACAAATCTAATGAATTTATTTAGAAATTTAGAGAATTTGTTGGATATGTTAAAATGAGGGATGAGAAAGTCAAAAGTTTATAATAATTGTTAGATAAAAAAACTATTGATTAGAACAATATAAAAAAGGTAATGAATTTTGATAATCTCAGTAAATTTAATAACTTATTGATGAACTAGATTACAATTCCAATTCATTTAATTCTATCACTGAAACTAATAAAAATCTAAGTAGATTAGTTAATGAAACTCAAAATAATTTAAGTAGGGCCATGTAAGAGAAAGTAGATGAAAGAACTAAATTTGAAATTGAAAAAACAGTAATTATATTTAAATATATAGTAATTCAATGTAAAATTACAGACAGCAGATGAAACTATCAAATAATTGTAAATACAAAATGAATAATATAAAAAGTTGATTTTGACTTTTGAAAATGAAAGATAGAGTAATAAAGAGACAATAAGACTTTTGTAAAAATAAGATTCAGATAATATTTAAAAACTATTTTAAAAAGAATGGGATGTAAATAAAATGATAGAAGAAACTAAGATTATTTAAGAAAGAGAGAAATTAAGTGAATCTATTAATATAAAATTTATGAAAAAAGCAGAGAAATCAAAAAATAAATTGAAATAACTTAAATTGTAATTGAAATCGTAAATATATTATATAAATATTTTTGAAGAGAATCTAAGGACACATAAAATGAATTATGGATATCAATGAAAATGATGGTAGATTGTTAATAATGTAAAAAGAGAGTTAAGTAATTAATTTTAATGAAATGTCTTCATATGTTTTGTAAACCTTGTATAGAAGATAATTAAAGGAATCGCAATAGAGCATGTCCAGTTTGCAGAACAAGATACGGAATAGAAGAAGTTAGATCCATTAAATTGAGTTGATCAATATGAATAATAATATACATTATACAATTTGAAAATTATTAAATAATAAATTTCCACAACATAGAATTATACGAAACAAGATTATAAAAGAAAATTAAAATTTAAAAATAATCATAATGTTAATATTAATCTTCACTTGTTTGTTACATATAGGATTAGCAAATCATGAATAATGTGTGGAATAATTGAAATTATACTTAAGTTTACCAATACCATTATAATTTGCAGTAGCACATAGATAAATAGAAATGTCAGGAGATTGGGCAAATAAATTTGGATTATATGATATGTGTTTGAGAGAAGAGAATCATTATTCAACAGTTATGGTAAAAGCAGAACCAATGACATTTTTATATGGGTTTTGTCATACAAATATCTGTTAAGCAAAAGATTTCAATGCACCAGATGCATAATAGATAATAAAAGATAAATTAGAAAAAAGCATAATTTCAATATTATTACCTGTAATATATTTATATATATAATATAAGATAAATTTAGGAACTGCTAGTTATACATTTATTGATCCAAATACATATTATCCAGATTTCAGCATAGGCGCATATTCTACTGCGATAATCATATTTATTCTTGTTTGTTTAGGTTTGATGGATCCATACAAAAGATTACTTGATTTATTTTTGGATTCGGAAATTAAAAAACCAAAAGGTATCATTGCTGATTTTTCTATAATTGAAAACTATAAAAAATTGATTGATCTTAAAACAATAGATCCTAATTTAGCCATTTTTAATGGAGTAAGATCTATTGCATTTATGATGGTTGTTTATGGACATTCAGCATTAATGACTATTTAATCTACATACTAAATGGAATTATTATTAGCATTATAATCTTAAAGAGCAATAATTACAGTGGATATGTTATATTCAGTTGATATTTTTTTTTGGCTTGGTGGATTTTTTATGGCATTTGTAATGTGTGAATCGAAAAGAGCAAAAGCTTTAGCTAAAAATCCTGTTTCAATACTTTTAGTTATTTTGCATAGATTATTGAGAATATGGCCTTGTTATATAATATGTATAATGTTTAATTCTTACTTATTACCTTATTTTGGTGAAGGTCCAAGATGGTGGTAAGCTACTACTTATACTGGTTGTACAGCAGGAGCATGGAGAAATCTTTTATTTATTGATAATTTCTTTCATGACTGGTAATTATGTTTTGGATGGGGTTGGTATCTCACTTCAGATATTTAATTATTTATTATTTGTTTGATTCCTATGGCTATTTATGCTTTTGGATACAAAAGACTATCTAAATTTTTAGTTATTGGAATGATTGTAGCTTCCATTATTTATGGAATTTATATATGTTTTTTATACAATTTCTTAATTCCTGCCAAAAATACTGATAATAAAGATTTTTATTATAATTACTATGTTAATAGTTTTGCTAGATCACCTCCTTATTTCTTTGGATTAGCTATGGGTATGATGTATAGAGAATTTAAATAAAAAGAACAAAACAATTTATTAGCAATACTCCATGAAAAAGCAAAAGATACTAAATTCACATTATTCTTTTAAATTATTTGCTACCTTTTAGGATTTGGGATTATTTCATGGTTAATATTTGGATGGAAACATGCATTTTTATCTTCTGATCCAACATATTGGCCTTATTGGTTTCAACACATCTATAGTGCTCTTTGTAGATTGATGTTTGTATTTGGAGTTGCATGTTTGTGTTTACCAAACATGATAGGAATTTACGATATGTATATTAATTTATAGATAATCTTTAGATTCAACAGAAAAGCAATGAACAATTCTTTGTTTAAGTTTGTTGCAAAAATATCATTTGCTTGTTATCTGATTCATTATATGGTTTTGATAATATTAAGTTACACATTTTATATCACACCAACTTATGTTACAATAGAAGTGATATATCTGTTTGTTGGATGTACAATAATAACACTGATCGTTGGAATGATTCTAACATTATTAGTTGAAATGCCTTTTGGAACTTTATAAGTAAAGTTAATAGATTACATTACCAAACCAAAGAGGAAATAATAAACTTTATTGGGTGGATGAAAAATATATAATTTTATATAAATAATAATAATAATAATAAATAGTTATCAAAATAATAATTGATGTTGATTTTTTTGTTGACTTTAGTGTGCACTGTATATTGCGAATCTAATAATTCGTCATATTGTATTGAGAAGCTAAAATAATTGATTTAATAACCTATAAATGAATAGATAGAAACAATCCTACCGTATTATTCTTTATCAGGTGATTGGATTGGGAAGTTTGGATATTATGATAGATGTTTTCGAAATGAAAATGCATATACTTCTGTGGAGATCGATTAATAACTATACAAGCTATATTATGGATTTTGTCATTCAAATAAATGTTCAGCTAAAGATTTCAATTCTAAGGATGGATAAGAAACTATAAAAAAGATCTTGAATGAGAGTGGGATTGCAAATCTATTCAATGTATATAAATGAATTGAATGTAGATTAATATAGATACTACTAAATTAAATTTTTATGATCCCATAAGCTATTATCCAAATTTAGATTGGGGAACGTATGTTACATCAGGAATATTAGTGATATTATTTATAATGATCAGTATAGATCCTATATTGAGATTTATAAGTGCATGTAAAAGCAAACATACACCTGATGTTAGAGATTAGAGAACTTCAAGTCGTCATAGTTCTTTTGGATTAAGAGATGGTTTATAAGATAAAAGTTTATATTAACCAACATCAATCATTAAAGATTTTTCAGCCATTGTTAATTACAATAAAATAATCAATCTTAAAACAATAGATCCTAATTTGAGTATTTTTAATGGAATAAGAGCAATTTCATTTATGATGGTTGCTTATGGTCATGTAAATGAAATGACTGCTACATCAACATATGTTAGTGAAGTTAATTTGTAATATAAATCTTGGGTAATAATTATACTTTATGATATGATGTATGCAGTTGATATATTCTTTTGGGTTGGTGGGTTCTTTTTAGGTTATGTTATGTGTGAAGAAAGAAAAGCATAATCTGTACATCAAAAACCATTATCTATTTTATTAAGTATTACACATAGATTAATGAGAATATGGCCTTGCTATTTATTATGTATTGCCATTAATTCATACATTATTCCTTATTTAGGAACTGGACCAAGATGGTTTTTATAAGAAAGAGCTACTTAATGTCCTGGAGGTGCTTGGAAAAATGCTTTATTTATTGATAATTTCTATGAAGATTGGCTTCTCTGTTTTGGTTGGGGTTGGTACTTAACATGCGATTTTCAATTATTTCTAACATGTCTTATACCTATTCTTATTTATTGTTTTAATTACAAAGTTTTTTCAAAAATTCTTATCATTTTTATGATTATTACTACTTTAGGATGGGCTTATTATCTTAGCATTCATTATGATTTTCTTATACCAGGACGAAATACTTATAATCCAGATTATTATTACAAATTTTATGTTAGTTCTTATGCTAGAGCACCTCCTTATTTTTTAGGATTATTAATTGGAATACTCTATAGAGAATTCAAATAATCAAAAAATAGTAGAAAAATTACTTATTTAAAATAATTTAGAGATTATGCCCTAAGCAATGGATAAAGATTAATTATGTAAGTTTGCTGTTATGGATTGGGATTTGGTATTATGGCATTTCTATTTTTTGGATGGAAAAAAGAATTTAATCAAATAGAAATGACTTGGCCAAAATGGTTCTAACATATTTATCATGCACTTTGTAGATTTTTATTTACTTTTGGGTTGACACTCATTGTATTACCTAATTTAGTAGGAGCATATGATTTGTACATATTATTACATTATCTTAGATTTAATTCCAAATTTATGAATAACACCTTATTTAAATTTATGGCTAAAATCTCCTTTACTATGTATTTAGTACATCTTATGTTAATTGTTATTTTAACAGAAACATTTTATGAAACTCCATCATTCATTTAATTAGATTTAATTACCTGTTTTATTTGCGCTATAGTACTCTCTATAGTTTTTGGATTGTTATTGTCAATTTTAGTTGAATTACCTTTTGGAAATCTAGATACTAGATTAATAAAAATAATTATGAGGCCAAAAAGAAAAGTAGACACTCTATTAGATTGATATTTTGTGATATATTTGTTTAATAATCAAATATTATTATTTTATTTTTTTTATAGAAAATGAAATTGAAAGAAATCAAAATTGTCAGAATTGTGTTTTTAGCTATAATTTTGATAATGATTGGATGTGAATCATTAATGGATACATTGTGCGTTTTAAAAAATTAAGCTCATTTAATCCTCTATATATTAGATATTTTTCTATATCTTCTCATTATTTGGGTAGAAACTCTATAAATAGATTATATAGTTCAAGTGATAAAAAGATAAAAATTTCCTCATATAAGAGGGAACCTTAAATTTTATGAAGGGGAAGTTCTTTTTTCGTTGCTCTTACTATTAATTCACATTATTTTTTAATCCTATTACATGTACATCAATGGAACAACCAAAGAGTGTTATTATCTTTCTTAAGAAGGGAATAGCAAATTTTTAATTTTTATTTTTACTCTAATAGTTGAACTATTGGTTCTCTTAGATCTTCTTATAGTTTTTATTTAAGTTTTTAGGATTATTCGTAAAGATAAGATTGAAAGATCTAATTTCTTTATGTTACATAAATACTTTGAAGACTACTTAGTAAAGGAACGTGATTCAAACTATGAAAATAGCAACTCTTCATTTGAATCGTTGGGAAACTTTTGAATTTTTTTTATTTATATTTTTGAAACAAACAATTTATATATAACATTTCAAGATAATATTATAGAAATATAAAATATATATACTTATTGTGAAATTGATTGTCAAAAAAAAAAACGGAACTATTTTTTATATTGGTCTTTATTATATATTATTATTTTATTGATTCAAATGAAAAAGTTATACGTTTACTTCTTATTAGTAATGATGATTGTCATTACACGTAAATATGTTAATAAAATTAGTTTAAGAACAAACATAACTTGAAAGTTAAGTTTAGATAAATGATCTAGAAAAATTGAATAAATTAGAGTCTTACAATTTAGATTGTGATAAAGACTTACTTAAACTTTAATAATCTTTACTTACTTGGATGGAAATATAAAAAAATAAAAATTATTTAGAGGATGATATGAATAATCTATCAGCATTAAAACTAGTTATTGCAAATATAAAAAACAATGAGAATCCTGAGTTGGCAAGTATTAAATATTTCTTAATGTAGAATTATTTCAATATAGATAATCTTATATAGAAGTAGTAAATTAAATAAGTTTAAGTGAAGAAACAACATTTAATAAATGGAGATAAGAAGGTCCGTAAAAGCTTATTCAATCAATGAATCTTATTGAACAAGCTGAATCAATTGAAGATATACTTAAGTATTGCACTTAAATAGATTAAATGATCAATCTTCTAATAAATGAAAGAGAAGAGTTAAAACAAGAACTTACTACATAGCAGGTAAGACTAATTGAACTAAGAATAGTTGCTTGTAGATAAATTGGAAGAAAAGTCAAAAGAAGTTTAAAAAGCACTGGAATAATGTCGGTTGAAATAATAACAATAGTCTGTAAAAGATACTGAATGCAATGAATAAGAAGTTTAATAAAAATTGGTTATAGAAGATAATGGATTAATACATGAATCATCAGTTGATTAGGAAAAACCAGTTTTTGAGAATACAATAGAAAAAGAAAAAGATTTCATAGAATATGGATATGGATATTGGTTAAGATTTTTGACACTCTATCCAAAAAGATTAGAAAATGGAAAGAATGCTCCTTGGTATTTTTTAAGTAGATTAACATTAAATAAAAATTATTAAAATATAGCTATGAACGATAGACTTTTAGCATTATGGTTAGGTTAAGGATTCTATCATTTTACTACATGTGATTTAGTGTAAAATTAACCAAATTTGATTTAGAATATTAATCATCATGATGATATTGATGGATAATGGACATATATTTACTATTCATACAATTCTATATTTAAATAAGCTATTGGAATAATATAATTTGGAAATGAAAATCCATAATAAATTACTCATAATGTATTACATACAAAATCTAAATATTTAAGATTCTTGGTTGGTGGAAAAGATAATAATTAATATCCTGGATTTAATGGTTAATTCTCTTCAATTTTTTTATCAACAAATTAAGGTGTTTTTATTCCTAGTCTAGATAAATTTATTGATTCATTTAAAACGGTGAAAATACCGACATAAGATTTTGAATCCATATTTAGAGTTTAATTGATTGATTAAGAAATTACTAGAAATCCATCACTTGAAGGTGATTATATGGCAGTAGGTGGTGGATCAAAGAAATTTCCACTTGAATATTCTTTAAGTGGTTGGTTTAAATGGGAAGATATTACTTAATAAGTATGGCATTCAGTATTTAGAGTTCAAATTAATAAACCATCAACAGATAAATTTCTTGGAGATAGAACATTATGTATGTTTATAGGAACAGCATAAGGAGGAATCTTTCATTTTCCTACTTATTCTTATTAAAATATGAAAGGTGAAGGAACATCCAATTTAGTAAATAATATTAATCATAAAAATAAACATATCGATTGGTTCTTTGTATATTTTGGTTATTCTAAAAAATTAAAAAAAGCTTTTGTTTAAGTAAGATTATCTTCAGGTATTGAAACTTTAGAATGCACAAATGTCAATCATTATTTTACTCCTTAATTTCATACATATGTTGGAAAGGATGAACATTTCCCTGGATTTAATGGTAAAATTGCTTATGTGAATTTTGTACTTGGATCAGGATCTTATAGAAATAAACCAGATTTCATTATTAAAGATGATTTATTTGGTTACGATGTTGGAGATATAAATCTTATTAAAAAAACATAAAAGCAAATTGATTAATAATAAAACACCTAACCAATAAAAGAAGAACCTTAAGTAATTAAACCATCATTTTAAGATAATGAAGATAGAGAGGTATCTTTTGAAACTATTGCACCTGTTCTTGAAGAAGAATACGAAGAACCCATTTAAATGTATGGATATGGTTTTTGGCTCAGATTTATGCATGTGTATCCAAAACGACTTTTATAAGGTAAAAATGCTCCTTGGTATTTCATTTCTCGATTAACATCAAATAAAAAATATGATAATGTTTAAATGGGAGATAGATTATTAGCCATTTGGTTAGGATAGTCATATTATCATTTTACTACATGTGATATATAAAAGAATTAAGGAAATATAATATAAAATATTGATTATCCTACAGATATAGAAGGAGTGTGGACCTACATCCATTATTCATACAATAAATAAAGTTAAATGGCTAATTCATTTATAAGATATTCATAAACTGATATTTAATCTATGAGTATTCAAGCTCAACATCCTAATATTAATTACTTAAAGTTTATTTTTGGAGGAAATGATGAAAATAGATATCCAGGATTTAATGGATTTATTTCTAAAATAATGATAACTATATCAAAAGATAATTTATTAGAAACTAAAGATCAATTTATAGAATATATCTCAAAATTAGAACAACCAAAAGTTGGTTTAATTGATTAAATAACTTATGAAATAGTATAAACAGAAATGGAAAGATAAGAATCTGATGATCCAATAGATAAAACTTTAAATGATTCTAATTAACAATTCCCTTAAGAATATGCCATTAGTGGTTGGTTTAAATGGATTGGATCTTAGAGATCAGCATGGCATAATATTTTTAGAGTTTAAATTTAATCACCTTCGACAGATATTTATTTAGGAGATAGAACATTATGTATGTGGCTTGGATCTATAGAAGGAGGAGTCTTGCATTTTCCAACCTATTCATATGATGATATTAATACTAAAAGCAATCCAAATTATTATTAAAATATTAAACACAATCAAAGACACTTGGAATGGTTTTATATTTATTTTGGATATTAAAGAACAACAAGATTAGCATAGATTTAAGTAATTTGGCCTACAGAAACATAGGATTTATTGTATTAAAATATCAATCATTATTTGACACCTTCATTTTATTTGTTTATTGGAAAAGATAAATTTTATCCAGGTTTATAAGGAAAGATGGCTTATGTTTATTTCAATCTTGGTAATGGATCTTTTTAAACTAAAAATGAAATTTCAGACACAGTTGAATCATATTTGAAAGGTAGTCAAGTTATAAAACCTTAAATTCCTCTCTCTTAATAAAAATAATTAAATCCTTCATAAGAAATTAAATAACCTGATTAAGAACCATAAAAATAACTCTAAGGTTCTCATTAAATACCTATTTTAGGATCTGATCCTCTTTCAAATGATAATACAGATGAGAATTATTCAGAAACACCTGAATTAAAATCGGCTGTTCCGTCTGATCAAATTGATTAACCTTAATTTTAGGAATAGATTAAGAATAAAGATACTCCTACAAATCAGCCTCTGGTAAAATAATCAACCATTCCTTAATAATCAACTATAAATCAGTAATCAGAATTAACTAAAGTTGAATAAATTAATAATAATTCAGATTAAAAGTAAAATATTAATCAAACTAAAGAAATTACTTAAACAGTAGATTAAATTACTGAATAAAGTAAAAAAAAGGACGAAGCCAATTAATAAATTAATTTAACTAATTAAAATTAATAAAACAGCTAAACAGTTAATGTTAAAGATGAAAAGGTTTCATAAACTACATCTTAAATTAATCAAAATAGTTAATAAACAAAATAGTAAGTTACTTAATAAGAAAATTAATAAATCTAAAAAATTAATGAAAAAACATAAGTTACAAATCAGACAACATAATAAACTAATGAAACGATTTAATAAAATAGTATAACAACCTAATAAAGTAATGAAAAAAATTAGGAAAATACCAATATATCATAATAAACTAATAAAACTACACAAAAAACAGATGATTCTATTTAATAAGGAAATCAAAATACATAAATAGCTAATCAAAAAACAGAAACAAGTAAATAAGCACAACAATAATCAAATGAAAATATCTAATAGACAAATTCAATGACTAATTAATAAACTAAAAACTCATAGAATAATTAAACTACAGAATAAAAAAATGAAACTACTTAATAGACTAATTAAATAACCTCAATTGATGAAACCATCTAATAGACTAATTAAGCAAACTAATAAATAAATAAAACTAGCTAATAAAATAATGAAAAAACTTTATAGACTGAATAAATAAACAAGAAATCCTAAGAAACAAATGAAGTAATCATAGAGTCTAATAAAGAAATTTAATCAAAAAATTAAAAAAATTAATCTGTCAATGAAAATACAAAAGAGGTAAATGAAACAAGATAAGAAGAAATAAAAAAAGTAGAAGAATAATAGATTAAATAAAAGGAATAAGCTGAGTTCAAAATTATTGATCATAAAAATGATGATGTTAGCGATTAATAAACAATAGATATGCCAATTTAAGAAGGTGATTTCTGTGTTTAAAATGAAGAGGAAGAACCAGACAAAATTTAAGAAGTTAAGATAATTCCTGGATAAACATATGAAAATGAAATATCAAATGACATAGATGGAAAAAATCCAATTGTTGATTAAGGAATTACAGTTGCAAATGATTATGAGGAATATGGTTATGGTTTTTGGATGAGATACTTAACGTTGTATCCAAAAGAACTAATAAAAGGAAAGGAAGCTCCTTGGTATTTTATAAGTCGATTGAGTCGTAATAAAAATTATGAAAATATGAAGATGAGTGATAGAGTATTAGCAATATGGTAAGGGGCAGGATATTATCATTTCACTACTTATGATATTGATGGTTTGAAGCCAAACGTGTTATTGAATGTTGATTATCCAAATGATATTGAAGGAGTTTGGACCTACATTTATTATTCATATAGTCGATAATCGGAGTAGGCAATAGGACATATAAAATTTGGAAATTAAAAATTTTCAACAATAAAGTAGAATGTGAAACATGCTCCTACAATTTACCTGAGATTTATCTTAGGAGGCAATGATTAAGATAGATATCCAGCATTCAATGGAATATTTACAAAGATTACTTTTGGTATAAGAGCAGGAACATTTATTTAATCATCTGAGTAATTAATAATGAAATTAAATGTACTTGATGTACCTCATAAAATCATAGAGTAAGTTTAGAGTGTGAGGATAGTAGAAAATGCAGAAGAACGAACTTCATAGAATATATATGAATATAAAGAAATAAAGAACAAGAAAGTAAAATTCCCTACAGAGTACGCATTAAGTGGATGGTTTAAGTGGTCTACATTGATGGAGAAAGAGTGGCATAACTTATTTAGAATATAGATTAGAAAGCAATCTACTGATAGTTTTCTGGGAGATAGAACATTATCATGTTGGTTAGGAAAGACTAGAGGAGGTGTTTATTAATTTCCTACTTATACATATACAAATATGATAGGTAATGGTAATGCTAATTTATATAAAAATATAAATTTAAATGATAGAAATATTAGATGGCATTATATTTATTTTGGATATTCAAAAATCAAAAGTTAAGCTAATGTATATGTGAAATGGTAGGATGATGAAGATAAATTACTCTATGAAAATGTTAATCATTATTATGTGAATAAATTATATGCATACATTGGGAAGGATAAGTTTTATTCAGGATTAAATGGTAAAATGGCATATGTGGTCGTTAATTTTGGATTTGGAGCTTATAGAAATTAGAAGTAATTTGATGAAGAAATCTTCAATTTCAATATAGGAATAAAGGAGTTGATAAAAACTACAGAAGATGTGTAATTTTAACCAATAATAAAATAAGAAAAGATTGAGTCTAGTGGATTTGATTTAGATTAACCTAGTTTTGAATAGGTAGAAGATGGTGAGAAACCATTTAATTAATATGGTTATGGTTTTTGGATGAGATTTTTGACTCTATATCCAAAGAAATTACAAAATGGTAAAACAGCTCCTTGGTATTTTGTTTCAAGATTAACATGGAATCAAAATTATAATGATTTAAATATGGGAGATAGAGTTTTAGCAATTTTCTTAGGAAAAGGATTTTATTAATTTTCAACATGTAATTTAATTTCAAAGAATACAAATTAAGAATAGAGAGTTTCTTATCCAGATAATATTGAAGGAGTTTGGACATTTGTTTATTATTCTTATAATAAGGAATTAGGAAAAGCTATAGGATTTATAAGGTTTGGATAAGATAAATTTTAACAGATTTAACACACTTAAGTAACACATTAGGATACGAAATATTTAAAATTGATTATAGGCGGGACTGATTAGAAAAGATATCCTGGATTTAATGGATAATTTAGTAAGATATCATTTTCTTCCAAAGATGGATCTTATATAGATCAGGAGAAGATATTGAAATCATATACATTAGAAAGAAGAGTTTAAAAAGTTATAACTATGAATGTCTTAGGAGATTAATAATAGAGAAAAGCAGATGAAGAAGGAGTGTTTGCTTAAAGTGATAAAGTTGATTTACCAACAGAGTATGCTATAAGTGGATGGTTTAAATGGTTATTAATAGATAAATAGAAACCATTACATAATATGTTTAAAGTGACAATTAGAAATCCTTCAGATGATTAATTAGGAGATAATACTTTAGTTGCTTATGTAGGTATTAAAGATCTTTAGTTTTCTACATACTCTTTTGAGAATATGGAAGGAAGTGGCAATAAGAATATCTAGAGAAGTATTGAACATAAGAATAGACATTATAGATGGTATTTCATTTATTTTGGATACTAATAAGATAAATCAACTTGTCATATACATGTTTAATGGTCTGAGGAAATGTAATAATAGGGATTTACTAATATTAAACATTATTTAACCAATTAATTTTTCATTTATATTGGTAAGGAACCCCTTTCAACTGGATTTAATGGATTGATTACTTAAATTAAATTCAATATTGGTGAAGGAGCATATAAATAAACTACTGATTACAAAGATAAAGATAACATTTTTGGGTTTGATTTGTAAACCATTAATAAGGAAATTAAATCATTTGATATCAATAAATTTAAGGAGAAACTTATTATTGACTCCAATAGTGATGAAGAATCTAATTATTTGAAAGTATTTAATAAAGATGAATTGGATGAAGTATTTGAATACGGATATGGATTTTGGTTAAGATATTTGAGGAATTATCCAAAAGTGTAGATTGATGGATTAAAAACAGAATGGAGTTTTATTAGTAGATTAACTAAGAATGATGTTTTGTAAGATATTACACTTGGTGATAGAACTCTAGCAGTATGGTTAGGTAAAGGATTTTATCATTTTACAACATATAATTAATAATTGGCCAATATTTTCAATAATGTTAATCATCCTGCAGATATTGAAGGTTTATGGACATTTATACATTACTCACATAATCTTAATAAAGAATAAAGTGTATCCTTCATATAATTTGGTAATGATAAACCAATAAAATCTGTATAATAGAGTATTCATCTAATACCATCTATTTTGAAATTCTATTTGGGAGGTCGACACTTAATTTATAAAGGATTTAATGGTTAAATCAGTGGAGCATATGTTAGTGTGAATAAGGGTATTTTTATTGACAAAGATGAAAAGTTTGAAGATTTAATTAAATCTATTCCATCACCCACAACATACAGAATAGAATTAGTTTAAAATGTATTAATGGATAAAAATACTAGATTTGAGATGAATTCAGAAGCTAAACAATTTGAATATGAAAATTAAAAATTTAGTGAATAATATTCTTGGAGTGGTTGGTTTAAATGGTCAAGTGTTATTTAAAACGCATGGCATTTAGCTGTTAGATTATCTACACTTGAAAATTATGAGAATAAAAATAGTTTAGGAGATAGAACATTATGTCTATGGGTTGGATAATAAGCAGGTGGAATTCTTTATTTTTCTACATATACTTATACAGATTTATATGGTTCAGGAAATCCTAATAGTGTATAAAATGTTCAATATAAAGACGATATTGCAAAATGGCATTTTATTTATTTTGGATATTCAAGAGTAAAATAAATGGCTTATGCTAAAGTTGAATTTGGATTTAGAAAAGAAGAAATTATGTTTAAGGATCATCATCATTATTTACCAAACAAATTCTTCTTATCAGTAGGTAGAGATAAATGGCATGATCCATATTTAGGTAATATTGCTTTTTTGAGATTCTAATCAGGTGAAGGAGCCTTTCATCAAGGAGAATTCAAAGAAATCAAAGATGATTTATTTGCCAATAAATTAGGATCAATGGAATTATCGAAATCTAAATTGAAATTTGATTTAGATAAAGATGCTACAACGAAGATGTTTTCATCTCCCTAAGTAGAATAAAAGGAACCAATATTTTCTAAGATCTATAACGAAGAAGAATTAGACAATATTTCTGAATATGGTTATGGATTCTGGTGTAGATTTCTTACTAGATATCCAAGTCAATTAATTGAAGGATTAAAAGCAGATTGGTCTTTTATATCAAGATTGACAAAAAATTAAAATAAAGGAGATATGAATTATGGGGATAGAACATTAGCTATTTGGTTAGGAAAAGGATTTTATCATTTTACAACATATTCTCATAAATATGCTAATATAGTTCACAATATTGATCATCCTGGAGATATTGAAGGATTGTGGACTTTTATTTATTTTTCTCATAATCTATACAAGAAAGAAAGTATAGCCATGATAAAATTTGGAGAGGGCAAAGTAATAAAGGGAGTGATTCCAGCAATTCATTAGAGTCCAATCTTTTTACAATTATATATTGGTGGAAACAATATGAATTATGCTGCATATAATGGATAATTTGCAGGAATAGTATTTTCAATTGGGGAAGGAATCTTCTTATAAAATGAAACTGATTTAGAAAGATTATTAGATAAATTGAAAAAGCCTAATGATTATAGTCTTAAATTGTCGACTAGAGATATTATAGGAAAACCTAAACAATCATTTGTAGCTTAAGAAACAATATTTGAAGATGTTCCATTAGTTGGATAATATTCTTGGAGTGGTTGGTTTAAGTGGAAATAAATGGGACAATAATTTCCTTGGTATTTAATGGTTAGATTAGCAATAATTAAAAATACAAGTGATATCAAATTATTAGGGGATAGAACTTTGATGGCTTTTATGGGTCAAGGTTACATTCATTTTACAACTTATAGTTATAAGAATATTTATGGAGAGGGTACACCAAATATTTGGTAAAATATAAATCATGATGGAGAACACATCTAATGGCATTTTGTGTATTTTGGTTATTCAAGATAATAGAGATTGGCTTATGGAAGAATACAATTTGATGATAGGATTGAGTCTGTATCATTTAAGGAAACTAATCATTTTATTCCCAATTCATTTGCATTAACAATAGGAAAAGATAAATGGTTTAATTAATATAATGGAGATATTGGATTTTTTAAATTTAATACAGGAGAAGCTTCATTCTAGATGGATAATTATGATAAAGTTTAGAATGATATTTTTGGATTTAAAATTGGTAGACTTTCAACTATAAATCCAAATAAACCTTCTCCAGAAGAGTTAAGATAACATGAATATTTTGACAATTCTTTAGAAAGTGATAGTGTTTATACATTTGAAATATCAAAAGATATTTATGAAGAATCTTTAAATTCTCATGTTCCAGAAATTATAGGTGAATAAGGAGAAATTATAAAAAGTGATGAATAATTTGAGGAAGAGAAAAAATCAATAGAGAGATAATAATAAGAATTAAAAAAAGAGGCAGAAAAGTTTAAGAATGAAAAAACAATAGGAATAGTAGAAAATCATTATTAATTCCCTGATTAGGATAAATAGAGAGTAATATCAGATGGACCAATTGATATTATTAAACCACCTTAAGAGAAAGTATAGAAAGAGGGAGAGGAAATCATAAAATAAGATTAGTAATAATAATAGAATAAAGAATAAAAATCAGATTGGGAAGGATTGAGATTTTATGGATATGGATTTTATTTAAGGTATTTGACAATGTATCCATAATAATTAAGAGATGGAAAGATAGCTCCTTACTATTTTGTTTCAAGATTAACTTGGAATCCATAGCCTTAAGATGTTGGTATGGGAGATAGAGTGTTAAGTATTTTCTAAGGCTAAGGATCATATAGTTTTCATACTTTAGACAAACCTTCAAATAATCCAAATCTTAGAACAATAATTCCATATGCTGATATAGAGGGAGTTTGGACATTTGTTTATTTCAGTTACTCTTAAGTAGATAAGAAAGCTGTAGCATTTATAAAATATGATGACAATGCTGAATTATAGAGAAGAGATATAGTTTGCAACCATGGAGAAGTAGAGTATTTGAAATTAATGATTGGAGGAAAATAAGGAATTTATTAAGGATTTAATGGTTAGATTGCTAATTATGCATTTAAATATGGAAAAGGAGCATATATAAATGATTTTGAATTGTATAAGAGGGTTTTGTCTAATAGAATACCACATCCTTTTAATGATGATTATAAATTTAAATAAATTAGTATAATTGAAGGTTCAACAAGTTTTAAGGGAGATGATTAGACTGATAATATAAAGGAGATAGAGAGTCATTTCTAAAATGAATATTCAATAAGTGGATGGTTAAGATGGGATTAAGCAATAGGATTACCATTCTATGCAATATTTAGATTAAGTGGATATAAAGTAGAAGAGAATAATGATTCAAAATTAGGAGATAGAGATATGATGCTATTCAAACATACTTCTTACTATTTATTTTAATCATATAATTATCATAATTTAAATGGAGCAGGAGATTTTGCAATTAATTGGTAAGTTAATCATTAAGAATGGGATTAATTTTGGCATTTCTTTTATATTGGTTATAAAAGAGAAAATAAATAACTTTATTATTATATATCATTTATTGATGATGAGTTTGATTAAGTACATAATAACATTCATCATTATATAATTCATAAGCATTATCTCTAATTTGGTAGAGATTGTAACAAATTTTATAGTAAATTTAGAGGTTTCACAGGATAAGCCACTTAAGTGATGTTGAGTTATGGTAAAGGATCTTACCAAACAAAACCATTTAATAATGATATCTTCCTGTATATGAAGGGAATTAAAGAATTGTTTTCATCTTTAGAATTGACAACTAAAGAAAGTGATAGAAATAAATTGTTAATTGCAGATTCTGGTAAATAAGGTACTTTGATGGATCTAGAAATAAATGATGGTACAGATTACAACATTAGAGGATTAAATGAATATGGATGGGCATTATGGTGTAGATGGTCTAGAACATTAAATAAACCTATATAATTTAAAGATGCTTGGTACTCAATTGCAAGAATTGCCAATCGAAAAGCACATTAAGATTTAGCTATTCCAGGTGATAGAACATTAGCTACTTGGTTAGGATAGGGATTCTATCTATTCAGCACTTACTCTAGAGGAGTCTTATAATTAACAGAATCCATTCCCTATGGTAATAAATTAGAGGGATAATGGAATTTTATAGTTTTTGTATATCGTAAAAATGTAGCTAAGGCTAGTGTTTTATTTGGATAAGATTCAAATATCATTGAGAAAGAATTTAAAGTTAAACACAATTTAGTTAAAGATTATTTAAGATTCATAGTGGGTTCTGAATTCAATTATAAATTCTTTAATGGACATTTAACAAACATTTAACTTAGATTAGGTACTGGAGCATATTTAAGTAAAGAGGAAATTGTTATTATTGCTAATGGAGAATTAGGATTGCCCTCAGATTCAAAATTTGATTAAAGTAGAAAAACTATAGAAATTATTAAGGAAAGAATTTCTAATGCTGGATAAGGTAGAGAATTTGATATCAAAGAAGAAATTGCTTAAGGAAAATTAGAATATTCTATTTCTGGATGGGCTAAATGGGTAGATATTCCATCTATATAACCATGGTATGTATTATATCGTGTAACTTATTATGATTATAATGAATTATTGAATATGCAAATACCAGGATCCAGGATCTTTTCATGTCATAAAGGTTATGGATTCTATCATTTTAATACATATACTGTAGATTAAGAGAATGGAGGAGCATGGTAAATTGTAAAGAATATTGATTATGATTAAACATTACACAAAAATTGGGTATATTTTTATTAAGGATATTCTCATTAAAAATAATAGGTTCATCTTTATTTAAAATATCCAGGATAAGAAGAACATTTTACATTTACTAAAATTAATCATTTTATAGCTTAAAGATTTAAGATTCATTTTCTTTTAGATAGATGGAATCCAGGTTTTAATGGATATATTGAAAGTTGGTATTTTAATGTTGGTTAAGGATCATATAAAGAAAATGGATTTGGAATAGGTGAGAATGAAGAAACTACATTTGGTTTTGGATTACATAAACCAGCTTAACCAAAGAATTGGTAATTTGATGATAATTATGGTTGTGGATTTACATAATAAATTGTAGGTTAAGAAGTAGAATATAAAGATGATCTATAAATAGATGGATTAATGGAATATGGATATGGTATGTGGACTAGATTTGCATGGAATACTCCTATTAAAATGGTTAATAAACCAGCATGGTTGTCTTTATCAAGATTAACAGTTAATCCAAATTATTAAGGTGATGCTGCATAATTAGGAGATAGAGCTTTAGCTATATGGATTGGACCTGGATTCTATCAGTTTGTCACTTCTACAAGAGGAAACTTTAATGTTATTAATAATGTAGAATATGATCAAATGTTAGATGGATAATGGAATTATATTTGGTTTGGATATAAACGAATAAATGATAAATAAGGTAGTGCTATAGGATATGTAGTATTTGATGGATTATCAATCAGAAAAACTAATTTTGGAAATATTATTTAATAACCATTGAATGATTATTTGTATTTAGCTGTTGGAAGTTCAGGCAGATACTTTTTAGATAGATATCATTAATTTAATGGTCACATTTAAAAAGTTTCATTAATATTAGGACATGGAGGTTTCTTTGAACATGAAGATTAATTAAGAAAATAAATACCAGCTAAACCAGAATTTCTTAGAAATCAAAAATTATTTTCTAAAATTGTTGTTGATGAAGTTAAAGTACTTAAAAGAGAAGAATGGGTACCATCACCAGTTGAATTCATTGATGAATTTGATGGTGCTTATGAATATTCAGTTTCATTATGGTTTAAATGGACTAAAATATATAGAGTTGCGTGGGAAAATGTATTCTCTGTTTCTTATAATGAATAAAATATCAGAGCTAATCATGCTAAACCTGGAGATAGAGTTCTATCAATGTTTTAATATGCTGATCATCGAATATTCTTTAGTACATATACAACTCCTAATAATCATGATTAATTTGCTCATTTATATACTGAATGTCCAGTAGATATTCCATCATAGTCTGAATGGGTTTATGGTTATTATGGTTATAGTAGAAATTAGAATAAGGTGATTTCATATTTACAAACAAAAACATAAAAATGTTTAAAGGCTTTATCTTGTATGCATAGAGTACCTAAATATATGGGATTATATGTAGGTAAGGATGGTATTCATACACCATATAATGGTAAATTTAGCAAATTATACTTTATGGGGCATTTAGGATCTTATATTGAAGGTAATTTTTAATCTTTTGAACCATTTGCAGCTGGAGGTATTTCTATAACAAAACCAGCTTATTTTTGGAGTGAATAGAAAGAAAGATTTGAGATTGCTTATGATTAGAATAAAGTATTTGAATTAAAGCCAGAAGAGGTTGATGAATAGACTTCTTATAGTATAGGTATGTGGACCAAATATTATACTGCAATTCCAAAAAGACTTCTTTAAAAACCAGATTGGTTACATATTGCTAGATTAACTATCAATCAAAATCATAAGAATTATGAAAATATTGGTGATAGAACATTAGCTATTTTCATTGGAAGATAATATTATGGATTCTTTACTTATAATGCTATTAATAATAATCCAAATATTGTTTAAAATATAAGATATGATGATAATTTAGAGGGAGAATGGAATTTTATATATTTTTCTTATTCTTCTGAATTATAATTAGCAGCTGGTTTTGTAATGTTTAGTAAGCTTAATAAAATCTAAAGAATTCAATTTAGAGATATTTAACATAAACCTATAGAAAATTATGCAAAATTGGTGATAGGAAATGAGTTTTCATATTAAGGATTTAATGGACAGATAACAAATTTATAATTAGGATTTGGTTAAAGATATTATGTTCATGATTCGGATGGACTTAATAAGATGATATTGGAATTTTATAATATTCCATAAGAGGATGGAGATGATAATAGAAAAGTGAATATTGTTGAAGAGATGAAAGAGAGAGTATTTAATAATGGGCCTGATTATAAAGAAATATTAGATTAGAAAGGAACTGGAGAATATGCTATGTATGGATGGTTTAGATATACAAGTACATAATTAAAGAGTTCAAATAATTGTATAATGAGATTAACTAATAATGAATAGGGATACAGAGGTGAAATAAGTAGAGTGGGTGATAGAACATTATTAGTAATGTTATAGCCAGGTGAATATGTATTTGCAACTTATTCATTAGGTAATATTGATAATGGATTGGTTGTAAATATAAGAAAACCAACTCCATATAAAAGTAATCTAGGATTATGGACATATATTTACTTTGGTTATCATTTTTAAAAAAGAAAGGCATCAGGTATAATTAGGTATCCAAGTGGTGATGCTTTAATTCCATATGATAATATCTTACATATGGTTCCAAATTATTTATTATTCTTTTTTGGAGGAGATGGAATGCTTGGAGGTTGGCATGGTTAAATGCAAAAAGTTAATTTATTATTTGGAAAAGGATCTTTTGTAGATTCAACAAAAGGAAATTATGAAGAAAAATTACCAAATCTACATGGAGTAGAAACTAAACCATTAATTTGGGATGGAATTGATAATAAAATTATTGAAGTACCAATAATAGATAAACCAGCCTTAGATATTGTATTTAATAAAGATGTAAATGGATTCACTGAATATGGTTATGGATTATGGACTAGATGGTTAACTACTATTCCATTAAGAATTGTAGAAAAAGCTCCATTTCATTAATTAATTAGATTAACTAGTACTGAATAATATGAAGATGCTGTTTAACTAGGTAATAGAGTTTTAGCCATTTGGGTTGGTAAGGGATATTATCACTTTACAACATACAATAAGATAGGAAATAAGATATCCATTTCTTAAAATATCAATTATGATGATAACTTAGAAGGAGAATGGAATTATATGTATTTCTCATTCACAAATAAGTAATAAGCAAGAGCAGTCGGATTTGTGTATTTTAGTGAATAATCAGGAACAGCAATTTCTCGAGTTGAATTTCTTAATTTAGAACATGTGCCTATTAATGGATATGCTAGAGTTGTAGCAGCAAATAAAGAATTTGGATATTAATCATTTAATGGAATGATTGCGGATTTACAAATACATTTAGGAAATGGATTTGTAGGTTCTAGAGAATAATTGATTAAAGAAATCATTTAACTTAATCCTAAACCTCCAATAGATATCAAATCTAAAATGGATGTTAATCTCATCAAAGAAGAAGTCATCATCAAACCAGAAGAAAAAAAAGACTTTAAATATAAATATGAAGAATATAAAGGAGTAAATGAATATGCTGTCTCTGGTTGGCTTCAATCTAAAGTTATGGGTCTTACAGAAGCCTATAAAAATGTATACAGATTAACTATCAACTCTCCTGATTTCTAAAGAGATAAATAATATGCAGGAGATCGAACACTTTCCTTATTTTAAAGTAAAACTAAACTTGCATTTTCAACATACACATATGGTAATTTAGATACATAAGGAGATGATAGTAATGAATTTAATCGGATAATTAATTCAGATAAAAGTAATGGAGAGTGGGTTTTTGTATACTTTGGATATTAATTTAAATCAAAATAAGCATTTGCATTTACACTTTTTTTGAATCATTAAGATAGTGCTCAATTTAATAATATTAAACATTTTGTTCCTAATTAATTCTTTTTTTATTTGAGTAATGATGGATATTATCCTATATTTGATGGTAGTTTATTTGATTGGAATCTTTATTTTGGAGATGGAGCATATACAAATAAACCAAGATAAATAATTAATTAATGGCCTGTTGAACCAATAGTTGAATTTGAAGGAGTAATTTCAGCACTTTTATCAAATAAGGGTCTAAACTCTATGAAAGTAATAAGACCTGATATAAAAGAAGAAGAAGAAATAATTTTTAAGAATAATTTCCCTAAATCTGGAATTATTACTGGAAATCCATCTCCTCGTTCTGGTCAAACTTAAGTTGATGCTAAAGAACCAAAATCAGGAGCTATCAGTGTTGTTAAATAACCTTAATCAGGTTAATTTAATGCTCAATAATAATAATAATCAGTATAATAATAATAATAAACGAGAAAACCATTATCTGGAATAGCAGATTCTAAGTGAAAAAATTGTATTATAGTGCTATTCATATTTTAAAATATTATTATAACTAAATATTAATACATATTCAATTACATCTTCTGATTATCAATACTCCAGAAAAATTAATGACAATCTATTTTTTATTATTATATATTTAATTTAGAATATAGAATTAAAAGTTTAATAATATTAGTATATAATTATTAAGAATTACGAAATCTTTTTTAAATTCAAATTGATTAATATATTCAACAATTATGATCAAATCTTAAAGAATTCATGTAAATTTTTTAAATTAATAATTAAATTTTTGTTAAAGAATAAAATATGATTTGAATATATATATCATTAAAATAATAATAGAATTAGAATCAGATTGCATAAAGGTTGAATGTATGTTGATAACTAATTTAAAGTAACACTTAAATCAATTTCTTCTAAAACTCCTTCCTCACATTTAAATTAATAAGGATTCCAATGACACTCATAATCTAAAAGTTAACATTCTTCTTATAAAATTAAAAATCTACAAAATTTTCGACATACTTTATCACGATCACTCCAATAACATTTTTTAGTATTTTAACATTCTATTTCAGTATAGAAATTTAAACATAATATTGATTAACATTTTCCATTTTTAAATTAACATCCTTCTATACATGAACATTAATCTGTAATATCTTCACAATTTTAACATTATTAAAATTTATTCATATAACATGAATAATAATTAATCTCATTACCATTACATAAACTAGGTGAATTACGATAAAGATGACATTAATTATTCGTACAATGATAATTTTAATCAAAAATCTCGTAAATTTCCCAAGAGCAATATTTATCATTAACAATTGTTTAAATACATAATTCTTAATCATAAATTTCTGAGCATGTAAATATTTACTAACAAAATCCATTCATAAAAACACAATTAGATATCTTTTAACACTCTTCTTTTTCTAAATAATCAGAACATATTAGAGGACGACAAGTGAAATTGTCTTATTTACATTATGTATTTAAACAATTACTATTAAGACATAATTCTTAGAGATTATTAGCACTAATACAATAATTCATGATTTAAATGCAATTTGATCCATCAAACATAAAATCTGAACAATTTTAAGTATCATTTAAATTAATAATATCTTCACATTTGTTAGCACCTTGACATTTATTTGATTAATCTTAATAACAAATTTGATCGTTAACTTTATCTGAACAATCTGTCAAATCAAAACATTTTTTTTATCTACAAATTTGTAGTTCTTATTCATAAATGCAATTGTTTATACATTCTCTTTCATTCAAATTACAAGATGATTTTATTTATTAATTTAGACAAATACACCCTTAAATATCATGAATCCATTAACATGAATGTTGGCGTTTACAATTATTAATATTTAATCCAGAATAATTACATGGGTATTATGATAAAGCTTATTGACAATTACCTGCAATTGGATCATAAATACAAATATCAATTATATTCATTTTACATGTTAATTCATTGACATTTCTTAAATCCTCACAATTATTAATTAAAGTTATAATCTTTTAACATTAATTGTTAATATATTGACAAGGTTCATCTATTAATTTTAAACATGCTAATCTATTTAATCCAGGTTAAGAACATTTAGAAAATATATTAACTTTTTATTAACATGTTCTTTTATTTATATTGTAAGAACATACATCTTAATGATAATTCAATAATCTACAACTATAACTATTTGTAATTGTTTGATTATCACATTAATTAACATTAACTTGTACTTTAAAATTCAAGCATTATTTCAATTAGATATCCCAATAACAAGGCATTAGAGTAATATTTGAACAACCAATTGAGGATAATCCTTAAGTAAGACATCCATCTTAAGTATAATCTACATCTACACAAGTATTTTGGAATTAATCATATTTACAACTCAAATGAGCCAATTACTAACATACTTGTGAATTAATATCATTATATTCAATGCAATTTTTCTTATACTCAAAATTATAAATTAAGCATTTATCATTTTTATATATACATTATTAACTCACTAAGGATAGACATGCCTATATATTAATATAATTTAAATATTTACTAATTTTGATAATCCTAAAGAATTGCATTAATCTTTTAGTATATCTATTTAAACACATGATTATATTGATTCTAAATATTTTACAGTTGAATTCATTTATTGACAACATTTCATAGTTACTAGAGATTAATTAAAATTCTTCATATCAAAAATCCAATCTATACATTGATCATTTCTCCAAGCACATAATAATTCATGCATTTCTAAACATTCTTTTATACTTTTATTATAACAATTATTTTAATGGCAAGAATTATTATTTGATTTACAATTTATACAGGTCTTATTTTACCATTCACAATAACCTATTCTACTACCTATACAATCATCTTTTTCTATAAATTAAGAACATTCATAAATAAATCTTATTTATATATAATTGCTCTAATCTATATTTGTTGAATTAATAAATGAACTTGTTAATTTCATATCACATTTTTTATGAATTTCATCATATAAACATGGATCTATAGAATATTTTTAACATGAAACTTTATTAAACTATTTAGATTATAATAAATTATTACTTCAGTAGGTATTTCATTACAAAGTACAGGTTGAAAGGTTACATCAATATTTTCACATTATCCTGTCCATTTACAATACATTGATGTATTCATACAACCCCAGTAATTAACTATGTTTTCACAAGAGTATCTGGTTCTGTACCATAAATTACAATAACCATCAAATTAACAAAATTAATATTCAACATTTTGACAAGCTTTGTAACTTAATGTATTAGAACATATTTAATTATGATCTAATTTTTATTCACATTTTTGTAGTGACATATTAAATTAACAACTAATAAGTGCTTATCTACAATATTAGAGAGTAGTAAAATCATCACATTGATTTGAATTAATAATATTTTAACATTTTTAATTAATCCATTTACAAGTTTATTTAGGTGTTTTTATTTCAGAACAAGTAACTTATGATACATCATCTTGACATTCTAATAAATAAAGATTGGCATCTGAACAGGTAAATCCATTCCAATAACAAGTTAATCTCTATGTATTATTTAAACATAAATCTCTATTCAATCCTAATCTATCACATCTAAAAAATGATATTGGTAATTCTGTTGTGTATTCATAACATTCATTAATTTTCCATAATTTACCAATAGATTAACAATAATATTCACTATATTCACATATCGAATTATTTTCACATTCATTAATAATATTATCACTATCCATACATTAAATAAGATCTTATATCCAAATACATTTTTAACTCACCGAATTTATGCATGAATAATAATTTCTGTTTTGACAAGATACATTAATAAACTAATTTTGATATATCTGACATTTATCATTCATCCAAATACATGATAAGTGATTTTATACTTTTAAACAGGCATTTTTATTCATCTAATGACATAATGACACTTAAATATAAGGTTGAGTTATATCTTTAGAACACTTAAATTAATTTAAATCAAAATAATAAGCATCATCTTAGAGTTGAATACATCCAAAAAGATTTAAGTTTGCATCAAAACCTTAAGAATATTGATAACAATTTTGAAATCCTAAATTTTTATCATATCTTAAGAGAAAACTTATATCTTAAAAGAGACAAACATAATAATCCAAAATTAATTCATTACCGACAACCTTCACTACTGAATTAATAATCTTGCAATATTAAGTATCTTCTTAATAATAACATTAAGATTTGTTTTTTGGATTTTTCATTATTGATAAACATAATTGTTTATTTACACGATATAATTAAACGTTTTCACAAATTAATTCATCAACAAAAGTTGAACATTTTTTAGTATTATTATCTAAAAAACAATGAACTCCTTAAATATCTTTTAAACAAAATGATTATAGATTTTCACATTTTAAAGGTGCTGTATAACAGAATGGTTAACCTTTTGTTGTCATCCCAAAATTACAATTGGGAAATTATTCACATGACATTATTGATGTTAATGCTATTTCATTAAAATCATCACAGAAATCTCTTTCATTTGAACTTCCACAATACTTATACCAACTATAATAATAATAAGTGCATTTCAAAGATCTTTATAAAATACAAGCATAAATATCTTAATTTAATTAACTA